AAAAGATGATAGTTAAAGTTTATATGTTTAAAAAGATGATAGTTAAAAGTTTATATGTTTAACAAGATGATAGTTAAAGTTTATATGTTTAACAAGATGATAGTTAAAGTTTATATGTTTAAAAAGATGATAGTTAAAGTTTATATGTTTAACAAGATGATAGTTAAAGTTTATATGTTTAACAAGATGATAGTTAAAGTTTATATGTTTAAAAAGATGTTAAAGTTGTTGGGAAGGTTTAGGACCAGGTGAAGGACACCTGAAGTTATTTTGTTTTCAGTTTGGAGATTGTTCAAGTCAAAGTTGTTGTTTGTTTGTTGTTATTTTGTATTTTTTAAATTAGGGGCAGATAATTATTTTCATCTTTCTTCAACCTTTTCATTCAATGTATTTTTTCTTCTGATGAAGTCGTTTTATTTTAAATGAATGAATAAATGATAAAAACAAAACACAACTTGCAGCGCTGGGGGTGTTTCAGGGACACGTTGGCTCAAACTTTATTGAGCTTCATCTTGTGACTCATCATCTTGTGTCAAGTGGAACAAGTTGTTGTTCCAACCGCGAGTTAGAACGACTCTCCGTCACATTTTGCAGCACACTGACTGAAACCTGCAGTTTATCGGACCTTAGAAAGCCGAACCACTTCCAAACCAGCGAATTAGTCTTTCCTCTCTTATCAGTGATGTCGTCTGCTTCTCTTCGTTTGTGAAACCTTGTTCAGTCACATTCTGACGGTCATGGAACTCATTTTGAAGAGAAAACTTAACGCGTTGGAGATTAGCCTAGCTTAGCCTGCTACCGCTAACGCCTTCTGGACTTGAGCTCTGCGTAACATTACGTCACCACGCATTTACGTAGTTGTGTCGCACCTTTTTCTGTCCGGGTTGAAACTGAAGCGGCCGCTTCAACCCGAACAGAAAAAGAAACGCGTCAGTGAAACGCTGTAATTCTACCGAAATATGGAAAATGTGCTTAAAAATCATATCATCGTTGTTGAATAAAAGTATATCGCGAGACATATCGACTTGTTGTCCAGCTCTATCCTCTTCCATAAAGAAACGCTT